TTATGTTGAGGTATGTTTCCTCTAGTCTTACATCCTCTGGGACTTTTATTATGGAGAAATGTTGGATTTTGTCAAAGGCTTTTTCTGCATCTATTGAAATGACCATGTGATTTTTGCCTTTAAGTCCATTTATGTGGTTTATTACATTTATTAATTTGTGTATGTTGAATCATTCCTGCATTTCATGGGTAAAGCCAACTTAGTCATGGTGGAAACTCTTTTTGGTGTGTATCTATATTCAATTCTCAAGTATTTTATTGAGCACTTTTGAGGCTATGTTCATTGGGAATACTGGCCTGTAGTTTTTTTTCTTGTCGTGTCTTTACCTGGATTGGATGTTAAAGTGATACTGACTTTTTAGAAGAAGCTTGGGAGTGCTCTTCCTGTTTCTGTTTTTGAATATTTAGGAAGGATTGACTGTAGGTTTTCTTTGAATGGCTTGTAGAATTCTGCTGTGAGTCCATCTGGCCCTGAACTTGAGTTTATTTTGTTTGTTTGTTTTTTTAATTTTTGCTTTCTGGACGGCTTTTAAATTACTGTTTCAGTCTCTTCATTTGTTATGTGTCAGTGATGGTTTGAATGACAATGTCCCCACAGGCTCATATGTTAGATTTCGTGGTCCCCAGATGGTAGAACTGTTTGGGAAGTAGTAGTGGGTCTGCCTTGTTGGAGAGGGTATGTCAGTGGGGTGGACTTTGAGATTTCAAAAGTCCACACCATTCCTAACTAGTTCTCTCCCTCTCCCTCTCTTTCCCCCCTCTCCCTCCCCCTCTCCCTCCTCCTCTCCCTGTCCCTCCCCGTCTGCACACCCCCCACCCCCTCACCCCCCACCTTAGACTTATGGATCAGATGTAAGCTCTTAGCTCTTGCTTCAGGGGCCATGCCCACCTGCCTGCAGCCCTGCTCTCCACTATGATGGTCATGGATTCTAACCCTCTGGAACCAGGAGCCCCAAATTAAATGCTTCCTTTTATAAGTTCCCTCAATCACAGTAATAGAAAAGTAATTAAGTCAGGATCTGTTTAGATTATTGGCTTCTCTTGGCTTAATTTTAAGTGGTTTGACCGAATCTAAAAATTCATCCATTTCTTCTAGGGTTTCCAACTTAAAGGAATACAGGTTTTTAAGTCATCCCCTCATAATATTTCCAGTTTCATTGGTGTCTGTTGTAATGGTTCCCTGTTCATGTCTGATCTTGTTAATCTGGGTCCTCTCTTTCTTTCTCATGATTAGTTGGGTCAAGGGTCTGTGGATCTTGTTTATCTTCTCAAAGAACCAGCTCTTAGATTCCTTAATTTTTTGTATTGTTTTCTTTGTTTCTATTTCATTGACTTCTGATTGCTGTTATTTCTTGCTGTTGACTGGACTTGGATTTGGTTTGCTCTTGTTTTTTCAAATTTTTTAGTTGCATCATTAACTCATTAATTTGTGCTTTTTTTAATTTTTAATGTAGGCACTTAGAGCTATACATTTCCCTCATACAACTGCTTTCAGTGTGTCCCAGAGATTTTGTTGTGTTGTATTTTCTGTTTCATTTAGTTCCAGAAAATTTTTTATTTCTTTTTCAACCCATTCATCATTCAGCAATGAGTTGTTTAGTCTCCATGAGTTTGTATATTTACTAAAGATTTGTTTGCTGTTGACTTCAAGTTTTATTGCACTGTGGTCAGATAGGAAATATTAAGTTACTTAAATCTTTTGAGTTTGTGAGATTTGTGTGTGTGTGTGTGTGTGTGTCCCTGGATGTAGTCTATTTTAGAGAAGCTTTCATGTGCTGTCTAGTAGAAATCGTATTCTTTGGTGTTTGGATGGAATATTCTGCATCTGTTAGGTCCATGTGATGTATGATATCATTTAATTATAATGTTTCTGTTTATTTTTTGTCCAGATACCTGTCTGTTGAAAAAAGTAGGGTATTGAAATCATGTACTACCAATGGATTTGTTTTAATCTGTTTCTTTAAATCCAGTAGTACATTTTTTTCATAAAATTAGGTGTGTCTGGGTTTGGTACATATATGTTCAGGGTAGTATTGTCTTTTTGGTCGACTGTTTCCTTGATGAGGATGAAGGGAATGTTCTCTTCATCTATTCTAACTAGTTTTTTTTTTTTTTTTTTGGTTTTTTGAGACAGGGTTTCTCTGTGTAGCTTTGCGCCTTTCCTGGAACTCACTTGGTAGCCCAGGCTGGCCTCGAACTCACAGAGATCCACCTGGCTCTGCCTCCCGAGTGCTGGGATTAAAGGCGTGCGCCACCACCGCCCGGCTTATTCTAACTAGTTTTAATTTGAAGTATATTTTGTCAGATATTGGGGTAACAATGCCTGCTTGTTTCCTGGTCTCATTTGATTGAAGCATATTTGTCCATCCTTTAAAGCAGTTTCTATCTTGAAAGCTAAGATATGTTTCTTGTAGATAACAGACAGATACTGTTTCTTGGTCCATGCAGTCAGCCTATGTCTTTATTAGAGAATTGAGGACAATTATATTAAAGTTATTATTGAAATGCTTGTGTCAATTGTGGTCACTGTGTTGTTGGTTTTGGTGTTGTTGTTTGTGTTTGCAGTCATATTTTGTGTGTTAGTTATCATGGCTTGTGTTTCTTTCCATAGTCTCTTGGTTGTGCTCATCCTTCTCTTCAGCCCAAAACATTGCTTCCTGTTTTTTCTTTATTGTTTGGTTTTTTTCTTTTTGGATGTAATTTTTTTAAGGTTCTCTATATCATGGAATTTTTTTTTCCTCCTTGAACTATGGTGAATAGTTTTGCTGGGTATATTAGCTTAGGTTGACCATCATGGTCTTTTGGGACTTTGAACGCATTGCCCCAGGCACTTCCGGCTTTCAAAGTTTTCATTGAGAAATCAGTTATTATTCTGATGTATTTTCCTTTATATGTGACTTGTGTTTCTTCTCTTGAAGCTCTAGATATACTTTCTTTATTATGTATGTTCAGTGTTTTCACTATGAGATGCTGTGGGGATTTTCTTTTCTGGTCTTATCTATTTGGAATTCCATATGCTTCTTGTATCCATATGTGTTTTTTCCTTAGTTTGGGGAAGTTTTCTTCTGTGATTTTGTTGGAGATCTGGTCTATACCATTGACTTGGGATTCTTCTCCCTTGTCTATGTCTATAATGTAAAGGTTTGGTCTTTTCATGGTATCCCATATTTCCTGCATGTTCTTTTCCTGTGTTTTAAAATGCTTTTCATATTCCTTGTTCATTTGGTCTAAATCCCCTGCTTTATCTTTGGGTCCTGATATTCTGTCTTCTACTTCATCCATTCTACTTATAAGGCTTTCTTTTGAGTTTTCCATTTGGGCTACTACGTTTTTCAACTCCATCTTCATTTCAGCTTGAGTCCTCAAGGGTCAACATTTCTCTTTCCTTTTTGAATTCCATTCTCAAGTCCTGGAGTGTCTTCATCATTTCCTTCAGCCTCATGTTTACGTTTTCTTGGGAATCACTCAGTCAATTTATTCTCCATAAGTTCTTTCTCCTTATTATTATTAAGCTCTTTCTTTGTGTATTCTTTGAATTCCTTAAATTATTTGATGAAGTTTATGATTGTTCTTTTAACTTCTATGTCCTGGGGTTCATCCAGGTAATTCTCATTGACAAACATTTCTACAGGATTGGTAGAGAGGGTACTGGACTGATCATTCATATAGTTTGTATCTTACAATGAGATCTGGGTATGTAGATTATTTTGTTAGTTCTAAGTCTGATATGGAGAGAGCAGGTTGTATAAGTGGATTGGGCCTAAAAGTTGGAACTAGCTTAGGTGGACTGAAGTCAGGTGGACAGAGGGCTAGGGTGCAGGATGTGCATCCTGGTCCAGGCCTGGAGTGTGGGAGTGGATCTGGCTGGTTGGAGAGGTTGGGTTTGGTATGGGAGGGGCCTGTGGATTTGAGGACTGGCAGGATGTGTCTTGATGGAAGAGGTTGGTTGTGACTCTAGCAGAGTTGGCCAGTCTGGGCCAGGGCACTGGATGTAGGACCCTGGCTGGATCTGGCAGACTGGGGAGGTCTTTGGAGGGGGAGGGTCAGGCAGACTCAATGGGGAGCCCTGGAGAAAGATGTGCAGGATGGACTGGGTAGAGGGGTCGGATGTGTCGTGACCTTTGTTCTTTTAATAAGAGTTTCCACTCTTAGAAACAAACAAGGTGTTTTGAGAGCTACATTAATCTCATCGAAGTGGGACCTCCTCCCTGTAATCTAATTATCTTACGGTAGTTCCTACTTCCTCCTCGTCTGCCTTCTCCTCATCTTTCTCCCCCCCTAGCGACTCCTCCTTCTCATTTGGTTTCTTGGTTCTTCAATGTAGTCTTGCCAAGTAGCCCAGGCTGGCCTCAAATGTATAATCTTCCTGCTTCAGTCTCCCAGAATACTGAAATGATAGCTATGCACCACAACACCTGGCCTAGGCCCTGTCTCTTAAAGACTCTACCCCCTCTGAAGACAGAAAGATCCAGAGTTCAAGAACAACTGACTAAATAGAGAAGACAAGGCCAGCCCAGGCTGCCTGAGTTTCAGGTTGCCTTTTCAGCTGTGGAGTTCTGGGAATCCTGACTCAGTTTGCCAGCACAGTCTGAAAGTTCTCGGTTGTGTGAGCTCAGCTTGGCAGAGTCAGTAATTGGGAGTCCTGAATGTAGCCCTCTTCCACGGGACTCTGACTCTGTCCTGTCACGGAGACAGAAGCCTGGGCCTGCAGATTATGTCAAAAGGATAACACTTGATGGCAGTTCATTTATTTATCTGGCATTTCCAGATGTAAAAGCCCAGTGAGGTTGATGACAGGAACATTATCCACCATGACGGAACTTTTCCCCCATTCTCTCTTAACCTCAGCCATAGCTACCCACCGGGTATCAACCCCGAAGTTACAAAAGCCGTGAGTAAGCTAGACGCATCTAGAAGCTTCACATACATCAGGGCAGGATCATGGCAAGCAGACAGACAGTGCCTCAGTCTTTCCACATTTACTTTCTTCTTTCTGTTCAGGCGACTTGAAAATACAGATGCTCTCGGACACGTTCACCACATTTGATGACGAACTAATTTAGACTGGCCCCAAGAACTATCCCACAGGACACAGGAGTTCAACCTCAGAAAATCCCTGACATCTGACGCAGGAGGATTTGCGGGGTTAGTGGAGATTGCTTTCTCCCGCTGGCCAGATTACAGACTGCAGCTTCATTTTTGCAGCAGTAAACATCCTTCTAATGACAAACACAGCATGGTGCCTTAGGAGGCCACCGACAGTCTCCCAAACCGGCTCCTTCTCACGGCTTCTCGGGAGAACGGTTTGATTTGGAAATCTATGTTGGCGGTCCAGAATATGAAATTTGGCATCTTCCTTTTGTGGTGGGGATGGATTCTGGCCGCTGAGAGCACAGCGCACTGGCCAGGAAGAGAAGTTCATGAGCCATCTAGGAAAGGCAGGTGAGTGACGCCGAGGCAAAGGCCTTGGGGATGAAAAGCAGGTTCTGCACGGTCCAGTCTCAGGCAGCAGCATGGCCAGATGTGTGTGTGTGCAGAAGCCTCTCCCCCCTCCCCTTCCTTCTCTTTCCCTTTTAGAAAACTAGAATGGTGTTTTCCTTTGTAATGGTACTGCACTTGACAGTATTAGCCTATATTCTTAAATCTGTTATTAATTATCTTGGATAAAAAAAAGATTCTGGAAAAGAAAATATTGTACATTTTCTGAACGCTAAGGATGACTGATGTCTGCACAAATTCTCAAGGGACCGATGAAAGTTTTGATCTGCGGGAATGATTTTTGTAACTAATTATTTCTGTATGAATGTGGGACTCTCTTCAGTTTTGTTTTAAAAACTGTTCTCTTCAGGCCATGCAGCATCAGTGGATTGTCCACTACCTGCAACCTGAGAGAGCCTAGGACGGTACATGCTGCCCTGGCCGTAGCCACCTAGCAGATGGAGCTTAGGCAGCCGGAGGCCTGGCCTTCGGCCTCACCTGGCTCCAAGGCCACACTGGCTTGGTGAGCACCTATCACACTGACCCGCCCTGCATCGGTCAGTAAATTAGGCCCTGGAGACAACCTGGCCCAGCACTTCCTCTTTACTGATGAGGAGATGGATGAAGGAAAGGTCATCTTTTGGTCATCAGTGTTAATTTCCAGTCCAACCTGAGTTTTCCTCCTATTCAGATGTAAATCCACAGAGCGAGAAAGACCAGCTCATGTGAAGGGAAATGTGTCTCTCAAAAGTCAGGATCCAGTAGGCCCCTGTCTTGCTCCTCCGTGCTCCCTCCCGAGGCCTGAGTCCTCCACACACCAGCACCCCAGCTCCGATGTGCTCACCATGCCAGTTTCTGTGTGCTTCTACAATGTCATACGACCAGGAGCGCAGACATCCAGTGCTCACGGTGAGCCTGGGGGACCATGGTGCCCAGAGTGTCAGGAATTGCTTGGGAAAATGGAATTTGTGCAGTGATGTAGCCCAAAAATACAGGGATTGTTTGACCCAAATGTGCTCATGGGAATTAAAACTAACTAACCCTGCTAATTGTCACCAAAACTTCACAGCCTTTTTCTCAAGACACAACTAGAATGGAAATGTGTTTAGAGAAGTCACAGAGACTGAGGAGACTCTTTTAGAAAATTAGTTTTGATTAAACATTTGATTAATTTTTAAAAATTAAAGTATTATAAACTAATTAACAGGGTATAGAGTATTATATAGGCACAAACATGGAATAATTAAATCAGGCTAATTAATATATCTGTCACTTTGGCTACTTAGGATTTCATTTTTATAAATTTTATTTATTTGGTGTATGGGTGTTTTGTCTGCACACCCTGTGTGTGTCTGGTGCCACAGAGGTGAGAAGAAGGCATTGGACCCTCTGGGACTGGAGTTAAAGACAGTTGTGAGCAGCCATGTGGATGCTGGGAATCGAACTCAGGTTCTCTGGAAGAGCAGCCAGTACTTTTAACCACTGAGCTCATTCTCCAAATCCCTTAGGATTTGATTTTGGTGAGAAGACCCGAAATGAATGCTGAATATGCAGATATCAGAATGAACTCTGCTATCTACAGCACATCATAACTACAGTCACTTTGCTGAGCAGTATTTCAACAGGAAGGTATCTGCCCTTTGCCCAGTAGCTCCCCGACCCCCAGGCATGAGTGACTGTCCTGCTCTGCTTCTGTGACCTCTGTGGTTTTAGGCTCTGCCTGTAAGTGAGATGTGCAGTCAGTTTAAGAAATTGTGCCTAAGAGCACAGTGTCACACATCTGTAATCTCAGCCCTTGAGAAGACCAGGCAGGTCATCCTCAAAGACATAGGATCAAACCTATGAGGCTGGTCTGGGCTACATGAAACCCTCTCTCAAAGCAAAACAAGAGGAGGGGGGCAGAGGGGGAGAAAAGAGAGGAAGAGGGAGAGAGGGTGGGGGAAGGGGTAAGGTGGGAGAGAGCGACAGAAGAAAAAATGAATTGATTTTATACGCCGTGGAGATCTCTTTCTGGCAATTGAAAACGGGGAGTTAGATTTGGGTCCTAATTTGGGCATGTGTGGGAGATTGAGAATCATTAGCATTAGGCATTTGTCCTGTGTCTAGCTTATCAGACTTAGAATGACCTCCTGCAGGTCCGTCCATGTTGTCACAAACAGCAGACATTCCTTTTGTAAAGGGCTGCCTACTGTCCTGTTAAAAATACACCAATCCTCTTCATGCCGTCACTTAGCTGTTGTGAACAGTGCCGTGGTGACTGTGGAAATGCAGGCATCTGTTCAAAACACTGAGTTCAGAACCTTTAAATATGAGCTCTGGAATATGATGGCATGATAATTCTATTTGTTATTTGAAGAGCCTCATGGTGTTTTGGAAGAGCTGTACTGCTTTGCGCCCCCACCGACAGTGCGCAGGGGTCACCCATCCGTCACACCTTGCTGACACTTGCTGTTCCAGTTTCCACGGTCATTTGCACAGCTTCTTTTCAAAGAGGAGAACGGCAGGCAGCGGCGTCTGATCGCTCTGTTTTCATCCGCTCGTTCCCTTTATTATTGAGTTGAATTCCCCGTCAATTTTTAGTAGCACCCTGCTCAGACGTCGGCCTTGTCAGTATTTTCTCCCAGCCTGTAGGTCGGTAGCCCAGACCGGCCTCCGCAGTCAACCATTGCTCCCCTCACCATGCAGAAGCTGCGAGTTTGCGATAACCTCACGGTCTTGCTTCTGTTACGTGAGCATTCGAGGTCACGCCTGAAATACGAGCACCGAGCTCAACGGCACAGAGTTCTCCTTGTGTCGAATAGCAGTTTCACAGTTTCAGGCCTTACACGTAAGTCTTTAGCCCATTTTGAGCTCATTCTTGTACTGGATGTGAGATCAGAGTCCAGTTCATCCTTCTGCATGTGGCTATCCAGTTTTCCCGACACTCTTGATGGAACAGACGGTTTTTTCCTAGTGTGTGTTCTCGGTGCCCTTGCTGCTCAGTGCAGAGCACTTGTTCCGAAGCGTTTTATTTTCTGCAGCTATTATAAAAGGGACTATTCTGTTGACTTTTCTTTTGGACAACCCATTACTAGTGTATAGAAACGTGCTTTTTTTTATGTCCTCAAGCTTCACCATTTATTTATTTGTTTATTTATTACTCCTAATAGTTTTGAGTAGACTCTGGGCCATGGGGTCATGTTATCATCAAGCACCAGTTGCCCTAGCAAGAGCAAGTAGTACTATACCTGAACGGAGATTGTGAGTGTTCGTATTTGCCTTATTCCTAGAGAATGAAATAGACTTCCTTTTTAAAAGTTACTTTTCAAACTTTTTCATTTTTTATTATGGAAGACACATATGGCAATTTTTAAAGTCTGCAAATACATTTTTGTAAGCTTATTATATTTAATATGATTTTACCTACATATTTATTTATTTTTAGCCTATAGAAAGATCATTTGATTAGCTGCACAATAATGTATAATATCATGTAAGCATTTTCTTTTATTTATTAACATTTAGTTTCTCCCTCTTTATTATTGCAAATATATTTTAAAAGATTTATTGATTTTTATTTTATGTGTATGAATGTTTTCTCTGTCTGTATGTATATGCACCACATGTGTACACTGTCTGGAGAGGTCGGAGGACAGATTGAAGGTTGTGAGTTACCATATGGGTGCTGGGAACCAAACATGGATTCCCTGTAAGAGCAGCAATTGTTCTTAACCACTGAGTCATTTCTCTAGCCCCTATTATTACAAATATTATAATGGTTACTTAGTTAGGATGGTCTCTTGAAAGTGTCCTGGATCAGACAGGTGTGGTGGCACATGCCTTTAATCTCAGCACTAGGGAAACAGAGGCAGGCGGATTTCTGTGAGTTTGAGGTCAGCGTGGTCTACAGAGTGAGTTCCAGACAGCCAGAACAAATAGTGAGACCCTGTTTCAAAACAAGAACAACAATCAAGTAAAATAAAACAAAATAAATAAAATAGAGAGTGTCCTGGATCAACTAGCACCAGACACTTAGAACTGTAGGTATGGACCTGGGGATGCTTGAGTGGGTGAAGTCTCTTGCCGCTCACCCTGAAGAGCTGAGTTCCACCCCTGGGTCCTGAAGAGTAGATGGAGAGAAACAACGGCTGCAAGTTGTCCTCTGACCTCCACATGTACACTGTGGCTCACGCATGCGCTCACACACACACAAATACTAAAACTCTAGGTAGATCTGACTACATTTCTTTAAAAACAGAAGTGGACCCAATTCCAATCCCATCATTTAAATTAAGTTTCATTTTTAATGTAGCCTAAACTTTCACCCAGATTCCAAAAATCTCTCTGAAGGCGTATCCAAATATGACTCACCTTCCTGCATCATGTAGGACACTGGGCAAAGTTCCAGAATGGACTCATACATACTGTCCTTCCTCTCATCACTGGAGGGCTGGAAACGTGTGCACTACAGCCCTGGGGATGCCGGCATGATCCAGAGCCTGCTAGTTCCATAACTTCCTGTCAGGTTAAAACCTGTACTTCCTCCAAAGGCAAAGAAACCCAGGTAGCTTCAGGAGAATTCCATCCCAGAGAGACCAGACTTGCTGGCACACCAGGAAATATGGTAGATGGGTAGGAAGGGAAACAGAAAGTGAGCAGAGGTCACACCTGGAACACATGAGCGGTAGTGAGTGGTCAGGGATAACAGTGGAAGGAGCAGGTAGGGAGATGGAGCCCAGAGCATTTTAGAATTGCCAGGATTTGTGTGGCATTAAGATAAGAAAGCAGCTTCAGGTGAGTTCTCAGTAGGCATTTTGGTTGCTTGTCTGGGAGAGTGGTCATGTCAGGGGCAGGAGGACAGGAAGCGGAGCAGTGTGAAACAAAAGAACACATGGCCCTGGACCACTTAAAGGCTATGGAGAGACTTCCTGTATGCCTATCGGGAAGGGATAGGCAGCTCGGGGGGAAGTGGACCCGAAGATGTA